AGGTTCAGGTTCGTCTTCTTCAGCACCCTGCATTATTTAGCGATTTAAAAGCAGTGCTATTTCAGTCTCGATGAGATCATCATTTGTTCCAAGGCACATTTTAGGACTATCGCAAGGGTGTGCAGATATGTACTTAGGATACTTTAAAAAATATTCTTCGAATCTCTGAACGATGCTTTCCTTGCTAGTTAAGATATTTCCCTCAAGACTCTTCACAGCTTTTGGGGGTATCTGAAGATAAAGCATATACTGTCAGAAAATTCTTATCGTTCGGTAGTACAATTTAAATGTCCCTCCGAATGATTCAAAGCCCTGGTTCTTGCAGCTTTCTTTGTTAGTCCTGCAGCTTTGTGACATTCGATGTACTGAATTCAGAAGGAAAATGAGGTACTATTCTCATACCAAACCCGTTTGAACGTTCCTTTTCAATCAAGTTCTTTTATTTTCGCCAGTAATGACATCTAACTAACATTAATCACCTAACGAGTTCTGTCTTAAACAGCACTACATGATCTCCATATCTGAGGCTTAGTTAACATCTGATCAAGCATCGCTGACACGTAATCTGCAAACCATATGCTCACAGTTTAGGTAAATTTCGATCTACCAGTTTCGGGGGTCGTCATGAATTTTGAACGGCCAGTTTTCACATAACTTGGTGGTAATCTTCGATTACTCAATTTCATCCTCACCTGAACATCCAGCACCATGAAAACCAAGTCAAACAAAATCATGGTCGGGGCCACAGTGATCATTGTCATAAAGAATCACGTTAAATTATGTTGCCGATAAATGTTCATTATGGACAAGCGGAGTTCTACAACTTGAAATCACCCTTCAAGGCTGCGGCAACTTTCTAGAAATAGCTCTTATTATGAGTCTAGTACTTGGTCATATACTTGCATAATTGCAAGCGTTCGACCTCTGAGCCCAAGGGGAGTTTTTCAGCAGCACGGACAGTTAGCCAGGAGAGGTTACAGTATCACAATTCCTCACTGTACCAACAGGGCTGGGTCAATTCCAAAACAAAATTTTTTACCCACTTTCGAGGTCAAAGACATTGCTACTACGGCATGTGGGAAGGAAAACGAAGATTACACGCTATGCTTGCCACGCGGCTGTAACCACTACCTCTAAAAATAAGGCACTCCCGGCTGCTGGCGTAGAAATGGAGATAGGTGCCCTACCATTAAATTTATGAAAAGAAGGGCGTCAGAATTGCCACATCTCGAAAGTGTAAGGAAGCTCGACATTCTAAAGGTCACGAATATTCCTTTCCTTTTACTTACTGTTCCCTTGCCAGTCAAAAAATGGTATCCTAGTTTCTAGTAGTAACGTTCAGTGACACTGCTGATTCCATCTAAGATTCCTGAGGTCTTTTTGTGTTTGCCACTGCATCAAGTTGCCACGAATAGCAGGCCCACCGATGAGACGCATAAAACGACTTGCAGGGTGGCTGCTATGTATGGCAAATTGTCAGAATACCATATCTTAAAAAATCTCTTCTCCTTCAGGCTCGACCGCATTCCTTGTTAACTCATGGTAGAAACGATGCACACAGTATGGACAATTTTAAGCGATGAAACGATGGTATGGACTGGATTAGAATGTACTTTATGTGTTTATTCTTCTTCCGATCGGGAATGCTTCACCGTATCTTTAAATATGCTTTATGTTCCAGTCAGCAATCATATACGACATACTGTAAATGCTGGAGTTCTCCGCATTTCAAGATGGTATTTTAGGAGAACGATGAATAATGATGAAAAATGAACATATCTGATGAACTTCTAAAAGACCACGAACTCCTTCATAAGAACTTCAACTTCCATGACCGCTTCTCCTATCGGGTCGCGTAGGCAGACGCATCACACAGAGCTTCCAACGTTCCCGATCCTGTGCCAAAGTCTAAACTTCGGTAGAAGAAATATGGAGTCTGGAACAAACTCCTTCCATATGTTTGCACCAGGTTAATCTTGGCCGTCCCCTGAGTCGGATTTGCAAGTAACAGTTGCTTAGCCTTCT